ACACACACACACACACACACACACACACACACACAAGAATTAGGCCGGGTGTTGTGGCTCATGCCCGTAATTCCATCTTTTTGGGAGGCCAACGCAAGTGGATCATAAGGTCAGGAGTTCAGGACCACCCTGGCCAAGACAGTGAAACTCCATCTCTACAAAAAATACAAATATTAGCTGGTCGTGGTGGCAGGTGCCTGTAATCACAGGTACTCAGGAGGCTGAGGCAGGAGAATCATTTGAACCCGGAAGGTGGAAGTTGCAGTGAGTGGAGATCGAGCCACTGCACTCTAGCATTGGTGACAAAGCAAGACTCTGTCTCAAAAAACAAAAACAAAAACAAGAATTAGCTGGGCGTGGTGGTGTGTCAGGTTCCTATAATCCCAGCTACTCAGGAGGCTGAAGCAGGACAATCACTTGAATCTGGGAGGCAAAGGCTGTAGTGAGCCAAGATTGTGCCACTGCACTCCAGCCTGAGCAACAGAGCAAGAGCAAAACTCTGTCTCAAAAAAATTCGTCTTTTTAATCTATTTTAGTAATTTAGAATAGTCAACACACACACACACACACACACTCTCTCTCTCTCTCTTAATCTATATTTAATTTAGATCATTGTTTCTTTTTTTTTTCTTTTAGAGATGGGGTTTCACCATGTTGGCCAGGCTGGTCTCGAACTCCTGACCTCAAGCAATCCACCCGCCTCAGCCTCCCAACGTGCTGGGATTACAGGCGTGAGCCACTTCGACCGGCCAGATCATTGTGTTTCTTCTGTGATGAGTAAAGGAATGCAGAGCTTTTAATAATGGAAGCTTTAAGGACTCAGAAATGGGCAGGGCACAGCGGCCCTTTGGGAGGCTGAGACAGGTGGATCACCCAAGGTCAGGAGTTGGAGAGCAGCCTGACCAACATGGAGAAACCTCGTCTCTACTAAAAATACAAAATTAGTGGGGCGTGGTGCTGCATGCCTCTAATCCCAGCTAGTTGGAAGGCTGAGGCAGGAGAATCGCTTGAACCTGGGAGACAGAGGTGGCAGTGAGCCAAAATTGGGCCATTGCACTCCAGCCTGGGCGATGGAGCAAGATTCCATCTCAAAAAATAAAATAAAATAAAAACAAACTGGAATGAACAAGTGGCTTTTGGCTGTCTAGCTACTCCAGGAGTCCATATTTATCATTAAAGTTGAGTCCTTTTAAATACCAACTTTGGTCCTCCAATTTAGGTGCCTGTAATCCCAGCTACATAGGAGGCTGAGGCAGAAAAATCACTGGAACCTGAAAGGCGAAAGTTGCACTGGATCAAGATTATGCCACTGGACTCCAGTCTGGGCAACAGAGTGAAGCCCCACCTCAAAAAACAAATAAAGCCTGGGAGCAGTGTCTCACGCCTGTAATCCCAGCACTTTGGGAGTCATCGAAGGGTGGATCCTCTGAGGTTGGAAGTTTGAGACCAGCCTGACTAACATAGTGAAACCCCATCTCTACTAAAAATGCAAAATTAGCCGGGTGTGGTGACGCATGCCTGTAATCCCAGCTACTGGAAAGGCTGTGTGGCAGGAGAATCGCTTGAACCAGGAGGTGGAGGTTGTGGTGAGCGGAAATTGCACCATTGCACTCCAACCTTGGCAAGAAGAAACTTTGTCACCAGAAAAAAGTCTCATCCAGGATGTGTACCAATCTGCCACACAAAAATCCTAGGCCACAGGGTCCAGTGTGGTGGCTCACGCCTGTAATCCTAGCAGTTTGGGAGGCTGAGGTGGGTGGATCACGTGAGGTCAGGAGTTTGAGACCAGCCTGGCCAATATGGTGAAACCCCATCTCTACTAAAAATACAAATATTAGCCAGGCTTAGTGGCACATGCCTGTAGTCCCAGCTACTGGGGAGGCTAAGGAGGGAGAATCGTTTGAACCTGGGAGGTGGAGGTTGCAGTGGGCAGAGATCATGCCAGTGCATTCCAGCCTGTGCAACAGCAGTCAGACTCCATCTCAAATAAAATAAAATAAAATAAAAAAATAAAAATCCCAGGCCACAGTTCCATTTCTCTTTTTAAGAAAAAATATGTGGCCGGGCGTGGTGGCTCAAGCCTGTAATCCCAGCACTTTGGGAGGCCAAGGCGGGTGGATCATGAGGTCAAGAGATCGAGACCATCCTGGTCAACATGGTGAAACCCCGTCTCTACTAAAAATACAAAAAATTAGCTGGGCATGGTGGCGCG